GGAGGGAGAAGAAGACAGTTAGGGGATCTGATGGCCAAACACCAAGTGGATGTGGTGTGTCTTCAAGAAACTATTAAGCAGAACTTTACTGTTAGAGAACTAGCAGGTTTAGCTAGAGGTCAGGAGATGTCTTGGAATTGGGTTCCACCAGAAGGGAGGTCTGGTGGCTTACTGCTAGGGACAAATACAGATATATTAGATGTGGAACAGTATAATCATGGCAGGTATCACCAATGTTCATCAGTTCTGAAAAACAGAGGCTCTGGTTTCAGTTGGGGTATTATCAATGTATATGGTCCTGTGCAATTGGACTTGAAACCTGATTTTTTGAGAGAGCTCATGGAAGTGATTATGTCAATGGAGGTTCCTTTGATTGTGGGGGGTGATTTCAACCTTGTCAGGGAAGCTGCAGAAAAATCAACTGGTAATGTGAATGACAGTTTGGTTCAACTTTTCAATCATTTCATTGATGATGTGAGTCTGAGAGAGATGCACAGACAGGGAGGAAGTTTCACATGGACAAATAAACAGGAAATCCCAATTATGGCTGTTCTAGATAGAGTGTTTGTGTCAAATGATTGGGAGGGCCGTTTTCCCCTTGCTACAACTAGATCACTTACAAGGGTAGGATCTAATCACAACCCTCTTTTGGTGGAAACAGAAAGTGAAGTATTAGATCTACCATATTTAGAGTTGAGCCTGCTTGGTTTTCCCAGGAAGGCTTTATGGAGTGGGTTATTAACAAATGGCCTGGGAGAAGGAAACAAAATATTCTAGATCACTGGAATATTGTATCTCAACTGTTGAGGAGGGTTTTGAAAGGGTGGAGCAGAAATTGGGGAAGTGACCAAAGGAAATTAAAACAAAATCTTCTTATTCAGATAGAAGCATGGGACAGTCTGGCTGAATCAAGAACCTTATCAAGCAATGAGTGGTTAGATAGATATGACAAGGAGAAGGAGTTGATGAAGATTTATGAAAACCAGTTTCTACAAAGTGTTGTTTGCAAGTGAACCTGACCCAAGAATCAAATTGGGTCAGAATTTCTGGAGTGGCAGAGGCAGATTAGAGGAGGTTGATAACCAACTGTTGATTAGACCTTTCTCAATGGAGGAATTAGAAGCTGCAGTCAGTGACATGAAGACAAATACAGCTCCTGGCCCAGATGGGTTCTCTACAGGTTTTTCAAGAAATTTTGGGGGAAAATTAAGGGGGACATCTTTGAGATGCTACAAGCTTTACACAGGGGGCAGTTGGATTTGGCAAGGCTGAACTTTGGTATTCTGGTACTGCTGCCAAAAGTCAAGGGTGCCAACCAGATAAAGCAATATAGGCCCATATGCCTTTTGAATGTCATATATAAAATTATCACCAAAGTGCTTACACTCAGATTGAATTTAGTCATTAATAAGGTGATCAATGAAGCACAGACAGCTTTCATTCCAGGGCGTTTTATTTTAGATGGGGTTCTAGTGGTTCATGAAATTCTGCATGAGTTAAGGGTGAAGAAAAAGATGGGGATCATTTTGAAGCTAGATTTCGAAAAAGCATATGATAAAGTAAATTGGAAGTTCCTAGAAGATGTATTGAGGAGGAAAAACTTTGATGAGAAATGGATAGATTGGATGTTAAGGGCAGTACAAGGAGGGAAAGTAGCAGTGAATCTAAATGGGGAACTAGGCAATTATTTCAGAAGTTTCAAAGGCTTGAGGCAGGGTGATCCTATGTCCCCTCTGCTGTTCAGCCTAATTGTAGATGCTCTTTCAGAGATACTGATTACAGCCAAAGAGAAGGGGTTGATTACTGGTTTATTACCTGAGTTGGTGGAGGGAGGCCTGACTCATCTTAAGTATGCCGATGATACAATTCTGTTTGTGCAAAACTTTGAGCAGGACATTATCAATCTCAAATTCCTTCTGTTCTGTTATGAGGAACAGTCTGGGACGAAGATCAATTACTCCAAAAGTGAAATCTTCACTGTTGGTATGACTGAGGCAGAAGGTTGAGCAAAGCTTAATTGAGTGGAGCAGCAACCAAAATTGAGAAGAGACTTCAAACATGGAAGTGTGGGCACTTATCTTATGCAGGCAAATCCATCTTGATTAATTCAAGTCTCACAAGTATCCCTATGTATACTATGGGTTTCTATTGGCTCTACGAAGGAAATCACCAGAAGTTTGACTCGAGTAGAGGGAAATTTTTCTGGGAGGGGTTTGGTAATAATAAGAAGTTTCACATGATTAAGTGGGGAAGCATTAGACAAACCAAAAGAATTTGGGGGTTTGGGTTTTATTGACACCAGAGCAATGAACACTGCCTTACTGTGCAAATGGATATTCAGATTGGAAAGTGGAGATGAGAGTATGTGTATGAAGCTCTTAAGGAGGAAATACTTGGGAAACCTGGGTTTCTGTCAGAGTAAGGGGGCGGGATCTTCACAGTTTTGGCAGGGCTTGCATTCTGTTAAGCACTGGTATGAAAAGGGGAAGGGTCACATAGTGGGGAGTGGCAAGCAAACAAGGTTTTGGAAGGATGTATGGTTAGGTGAATGCCCTCTAAAAGTTAGCTTCCCTAAATTATACAGTATATGCCATGACCAAGAAGTTTCAGTTCAAACAGCAGGTGAATTGGCATGGAATTTTAGCTACAGGAGATGTTTTGGAGAGGCTGAGTTGGAGGAGTGGAGAGAAATGATGACTAAACTGGAGAGGATCAATCTCACAGAGGAGGATGACAGAGTGACTTGGAAACTGAATAAGTCAAGAAAATTCTCTACAAGGAGCATGTACAGATACATTACTTTCGCTGGGGTGGTGGATGTTAGAATGATGGAAATCTGGAACACCAAAATCCCTTTAAAAGTGAAGATTTTTCTGTGGATGGCATGGCATGACAGAATTCAAACAACTCATCAACTGAAGAAGAGAAACTGGGACAAAGCAGATGTGTGTAAATTCTGTGGGAAAGAGGAAACAGTTAACCATTTGCTTTTTCAATGCCCAATTGCAAGGGCTGTATGGTGCTGGGTCAGGGACAGTTTAGGATGGCCGAGTGCTCCAACATCAGCCACTAAATTTCAAGATCTGTTCCTAGTACAAGGGGGTGGGGATGAACATGAGATTGTGTGGTGGGTGATGGCGGCTGTGGGGTGGTCGCTTTGGAAAACTAGAAACGACTTAGTTTTTTCTAACATTGTGATTAAATCGCTTAAACATGTAGCTTATAAATCTCTCGGCTTTATGAAGCAGTGGATCAAACTGGCACGAAAGGACGGAGCAAAGAAGGAAGCAGCGGTGGAGAAGCTGATGGCAGGGATGGAGCACTGGTGACCTGTGCTTAATGCAGGCGTTTCGCTGTCATGTGTTCTTCTGGTTGCAGCCCAAGTTCTGTAGCGTTCTATGTTTCTGGCTTTCAGTTAAAGTCTTGTGAAGAGGTTAGGAGCTGGTCGTAGGAGAGGTCTATGTTTTGGTCTGAACTGTTAGGAGGTTGTAGTTTCCATGGAGTTTTTCTTGTATCTGAACTCATGCATTGTAAGCCGGTAACCCCGGTAGAAACCTCTGTTAAGCTTTCAATATAAGCTGGGCGAAATGCCTTTGGTCGAAAAAAAAATTATGCTCAACGGTAAACCTGAACATAGTTTTCAGTCAGCTATGACCCATAAGTTAGGCCTACATCAGAAAGCAGAACCCTTCAGAGCAATGTCACAGGTTGATTGTTTTACCCGTACTTAGATTACTCTCCAGGTGCAATCTGAAAACCAACCACGCAGATCTTCCCCCTCCCAAAAAAAGGAACCATGCAGAAAAGGTATCAATTATTTTATAGCTCTGCTGAATACTTGCATTTTTTTCAGAAAGAAGGGGAGGGTGACAGCAGTCGGCAGGGAAGTGCCTACCATGCAATATTGATCACATTGATGGTTGATGATATTTCAGTGTGATTTATAAGGTTTACTTAACAAGCAATATTTTAACTCGACACCACCTTCCAATAGCACACAAGTTAAAATTGTTTTGTTGCTCACCCAAACAGTTCTTAAAGATGAAACAATGCAGGCTGCCTATTGTGTAGTAACAAGCAGAGTAAAATAATGTAGTACAAGCCAAAATACCATAAAACGTTATTAGCTTATGATTTCCAAGTGTATTCCTGAAAAGTATGAAACTTCTACTTGGACAACTGTCTTGAGAACATGTAACCAAGATTGGATGTAAGATTAATGTTTCAGGAAATGAAATCAACATGGAGTCAACATAGTTTAAGTAATGTGTCAGTTTGTTTGTTTCCATGGACAGTGTGATACATAGTTTTTTATTTCCTCAAAAACAATATTTCAGGTTAATATGCCCAGCACATTTCAATAGCAGCAGACCCTACTTGAATGAATTTGTGAAGTAGCTAGCAAACAAAGACACAGTCCAACAAATAAAGCTTCAAACTGTAAGCAATCTGCCAAATAAGCAAGTTTATGTACATAAAAACAGAAAGTAAACAAAAAAATTGTGTAATTTCACTTCCTGGTATATTCCTTAGAGAGCGGAAACTCCTAACGGATTCTGATAAATGAATAAGTAAAGCAAACTCAGGTTTCAGTACATAAGTTATGACCCAATACATGTTTGGTTCCAAGTGGAGTTTTCAATCATGAACACCACATAAACTTAAATAAGTTTAAGTGTTTAACTACAGACCTGAAACATAGTCTTCGGTTCCATCTTCCCATGTTTTCCATGTTTGTTTAGGTCTTTAGTACAGTGTTGACTTCATTCACTGTGTGAACCACTTGACTGTACTGAAACCAAACCAACACTCAAATACTAGATACAGATAGCAGTCTGCCTGCCCTGAATAGAAACTAAAACTGTACAACTTCAGGCTTGGAACTTAAAATTAGTCCCTGCTACTCTGCTAGTGATGACAAACCACCACTGCCTCAAAACAAGCATGTGTAAAACATGTGACTAACTCATACATTTCCACAAGGTTACACTGGATTCTGACTATGAAAGATTCAGTTCAGCCTTTGAAGCAAAAAAGTGGATATCAAGACAAAGGAAATGGCCATTGACCGAACTACAACACAGGGTCAGCTCCCATGTCACTGCTAGAAAAAGTTGTTTACCATCCTTTTCCACTGCGTTCTCGCACTCTTGCAACAGAACAAACAAGCTCCAATCAACAGATGCATACTAGTGTTCTAATAACAAAAGCTGGAGCACGCTCTGGCTCATGAAGTACAATAAATGAAGTTTAAACCTGTATGCAACCAGAGAGACGACCAATATTTCAGAGAGACACTGAACTCATCCTAACTTCTTTCCAGTTCTGAGTGGATTCCTGAGTACATGGAAAGCCAGTAACTGCTACCCTTCTTACAGAAATGAAAATTAAACTGAAGTACCCAGCTTCCTTTTCCAGTCAAAACAGCCACAATATAGCTTCTGATTAAAACGAAAATATTAAACATTAATGAAACATTTTTCTACCTTAATGAAATGACACGCAGTTCTCCTGCGCTGTTCGAGAAAAAAAACATTAATGAAACACCATCGTACACAAGACTAATTAAAACTGAAATATAGTTGCCACAGCCATGATCGTAACATCATAGGTCCAATGATGGTTCACACCACCATAAATTAAACTACCCAAGAGAAAACAGTGGACATTCCAAAGCACCAACCTGCAAAGACGCTAACTGCAGCAGATTCAACTTGGTAAATTTGTACACTGGCCAGGCACTGCCATACCTTGGTGCAACAGTGATTAATTTGTCTCTGATGATGATTGTAGTTTTTTGCTAGCACAATCTGAAAAGCACCATGCAGCAGCATATAAGTTGAAATTATTTTGCTCACACAAACAGTTCTTAAAGATGAATAGTGCAAACTGCCAATTGTGTAGTATTTACAAAGTAGGGTAAAATAACGAACAATCCAAAATGTGATAAAACATTAGTTTATGATTTATTGGTGCAATCCCACAGGTATAAAAGGTTTGGGTATTGGCATGTGAACTTCAGAACAGCCATAGGAGATATCAACACAACAATCAAAACATTCTGGTTTGTGAAAAAAGGAAGAAAACAAAAACTTCTAGGGCACGTGGTGCCGTTTTCAGTAATAGCACTTAAAATTCTGACCTAACCAAAATCAAGCGAGATCTTCAGATAGTGCCATGTATTTAGTTTTGAACTGACTAACGTCGTCATCAATATTCAGTTTAATAGATAAACATTAATTGCAACCGTACATGAAAGCCCTTGTGCAGGATTAAATCTAAGCAACGGGGTGGCACTGTACCTGGAGTGTAGAAGCTCATAAATGGGATGACACCGCAGCAATCATCAGGCTCGCTTACCTTCCTCTTCCGACCTGACTTGAGCTCCATCATGAAGATACCAACATCTGTCTTCACAAATATGACACCAACACCATCAGCAAAACCAATCACACTACGTCTGTAACGGGGGTTGTTATTGGGGAACAGTTTCTGAATCTTGATGACCCTTCGTGGTACCCAGCCAGCATCTCCCTTTGGATCCACCCCTCTTGACCATAGGTAAAGCCTTGAACCCCTAATGCCAGCAAGCCCAAGCGAACCCTCCTCTGTTGGCATGAGGAGAACACCAGTGTTGTACAAGTCCGGCGGATCCATCATAGACACGGAATTATTGCCCAAATCAAATTTCAGAATTTTTTCACCAAGCTCAAGGGAGAAATAGATGTTATCTCCAATAAGAGCACCACTCTTGTTGCGGTCGACCTCGCAACTGTTTTTGACTAAGTTAAGAGGGGCGGGAGTGTCCCACGCACCAGTTTCTGACGAATACACACCCACCCGAGCGAACATCTCACCGGCACGGTTTTCATCGGAGCACACGGAGACCACGAGGAAGGGGCCGCCATGGCAATCGAGGTGGTTGCAGGTACCCGCGGCGCACAGAACCGCGGCGGAGCTGTAAAAGGAGAAGGTGATGCTGCACTTGGGCAGCCTCTGCAGATCGCCTCTGATGGGATCCCAGACAACGAGGTCGATGCCGTCTAAGCCCGTGTCAAGGAGGACACGCCCATGGCGGCAACTGAGCGCTCGCCATCCGGCGCAATCGAACGGCGGCTGGGAGATGGGGGATGCTGATGTTGCGGGGACGAAGCGGAATGATTGGGTGAGGCTAGCGGTGATTGAGTTGCGGAGGAAGCCGAGCAGCGGTGGTATCCGGTGGAACTCGCGGTAGCGGCGGAGGAAGGCGGGGTCGAGGAGGATGCGGCGCCAAAGCTTGCAGACTAGAGAGGCGCGGACGAGGTGCGCGGGCTCGTACGGGGGGACACGGAGGAGGACCTCCGCGGCGGTGTCTTCGATGAGCTCCGGCAGCGAGCGTGGTGGCGCCATGACGGTGAGGGTTTGGTTGTGGCGGAGGATTGAATTGAGGAAAGGGGATGAACAGCGACTGGCTCGTGGGAGTCTGAACTTCGGATACGCCTTTGTCTCATTTTAGGCCGCGTTTAGTTGGTGCCCAGATTCTAACATTTTGTTTGTATTTGATAATAATTGTTCGATCGTTGACTAATTAGGCTTAAAACATTCGTCTCGCAAAGTACAACCAAACTGTGTAATTAGTTTTTGATTTCGTCAACATTTAGTACTCCATACATGTACCGCAAGTTTGATGTGACGGGGAATCTTCTTTTTGCATAGTGCCAAATTCTGGAAAATGTGGGAACTAAACATGGCCTTACTTTAGATTTAATTTAATCATTTTTTTAAAAAAAAGAACACCTGGCTCTTGCTGGAACTCTTTTGAAAAAAAAACGCTAGTGGACACTGAAAGTGACGTTGCTTTGTCAGCGGATACTGAAAATAAATCGATTTCCTGGTGAACATTCTACTCTATACAAAATTTGTCGGAGGACACTGAACGGATTAAGGACGCGTTTGGTGGAGCTCGCGCCGGCTCCGGCTCTGCCACTGTGCAGGTACTGTGGCGGAGCCGGCGGAGCACTACAAACGTAGCTCCGACAGCTCCTTCTCAATCCACGTTCATTTGTATAGGAGCCGGAGCTGTTTTTTTAGCCGCTACAGTGATCTACAGGGTTGCACAATCGCTGCATGGAGGAGCCGGAGCCCCGGAGAGCCGAGCCAAACACAGCCTAAAATAAGGGGAGAAAACAGCTGTGAAATGACGATTTTGCCCCTGGCTGTTGATGCTAAGTATGCGTACATTGTAAGTGTGAACATTGTACTATGTAATTTGAAAAAAAAACTGTAATCCAAGCGTCGGTCTTACCACTGCAGCTCGCCATGCCAAAGCTGAGAGAACAGTGAGCGATGCAAGACTTGAATTCAATGTTCGCTAATTAAGACTGTCTCCAACAGAGTTGGCAAACAGCGACGCAAACGTAAAATGCGTCCTCCACAGTGTTTTAGCTGAAAGAAACGTGCTCCAACAGAAGACGCATTCAGGACATCCATTTTGTGTAGCAGATGAACCAGAACGCAAAAACGCGTCACCTCTCTCCGCGACGCAAATCTGGGTGAAGCGGTCGGCGCCGGGGTCCTCCTACCTCTCCCTCTTCCTCCTCTTCTCCCACCCCCACTCCCACTCCCGCCAGCCATCCGCCCGGGCGCGCGGCGCTGATTCCCACCTCCACCTGGAGGTCGGAGCGGAGGGAGGAGAGGAGGAGCAAGTCGAGGAGGCCGACCGGAGCGGAGGGAGGAGGTCGGAGCAGCCCGCGAACGACGACGGCAAGGCGGGACCGCGGCGCCGGCGGGCCCGCGGAGGGGGGCGCTCGGCCAGGCGGCACTGCCGACGGGGGCGCTTGGCTAGGCGGGCCTGCGGATGGAGTCGCCGGCGACCTCGGCGCTTGGCGAGGAGGGAGGCGCTCCCATCGTCGCTGGGAGATGGCGCAGCCATGGCGTCCTCGGTCCCCATCGGGGGCCGCGCCGCCGCCCAAAGGCCGCCGCCATCGGTGACGAAGGGGATGTACCTGTGTGCGAGAGGATGAAGGGAAGAGGCGGCGGGGCTCGTGAGGGGAGGAAGGGAAGAGGACACTCTGTTGCGTCCGCTGTTGGAGAAGGGCGGTTATGGGTCACGGACCCTTTTTACTGTGCGCAACGCAAACCGGCGAATGCGTCTTGTGTTTGGGTTGGGTCTATTGGAGACCGTCTAATAAACAAGAAAATGGCTCTGTTCGACTGGAGGTTAAAAAATCTACTTCAACGGCTACCTATCAAACTATCTATTTTTGTTGGCCAACAAATTTCCCCTCTAACTACCTACATATGTTAGGCCAACAAATCACACTACCTATTTTTCTCCCACCCCCATGCGCCTCTCTCTCCATTGCGCTCGCACGCACGCGCTCGTCCGCACTGGCAGCGCTCCTCCGTCCCCTGTTTGTGCCAGCGATGCTCCTCCCCACGGGCGACGCGAGTGGCCCTCGCCGACGGTGCTCCTCCCTGCCATGTCCGCGCCGGCGGCGCTCCTCCCCGCGGATCTAGCCGGCAGGATCCTCCCTCCCCTACCTAGTGCCGCCTCCTCCTGCTCCCTCCAGCGCAAAAACAGCAGCCCCTTCGGCGCGAGCTTCGCCCCGGTGAGCTGCAAGGGACCTCTCACCGGCAGACGGCCCCAGCTCCCACCGGCCCTCTGCTCCGCCCTAGTGAGCAGCAGGGGAGCCACCACGGTGGCCGCCGCTGGCCACTTCTCCGGCGCGGCGTGGGCACAGGCGCGGCCCCCAGCACCTGCCCTCCCAATCGGCATCCTTTGCCCTTGCCAGCACCGGCGCGGTGGCCTGCCTTGTCCCCGGTGCTCCATCTGCTCCGGCGAGAAAACACGAATGAGAATGACACAAGGGACCCACCTGTCATTGTCTACTAGCATCGGTTTGGGTAGCCTATTTTAGGTAGTACTGCTGTAGTCGGAAGCAAAATATGGGTAGTAGAAAATTAGATGGCTACCAAACAGACATTTAGGTAGTCTGATTTAGGTAGTACTGCTAGAGATGCTCTTAGGTAGCCATCCTTCCTTCCTTGCTTACTATAGATGTACTTAATTTTATCTGCTTTTAGTTCTGAAATATGATATTCCTCAAACTACTTTAAACCATAGATGTACTTATAAGTTATGATGAACCATGCTTATAAAAGATGAAGTTACGATGAACCATGCTTATAAAAGATGAAGAAAAAACTGAAAATTTTAAAAGGTTATTATATGACTATTAGATTGACCTATTGTAGACTTTGAGACCGATCCATATGATCCATTGGCCTTACTTTTATAGGTCAAGTTAACTATCCAATGGGTCAACCTGGTCCGTTCCCATCTCTACTCTCTCTCCCTCTCGAATCCGGCTAGGATTCTTCCATTCGTCTTTTTACGTCCCACAATGCCTATACGTATCTCATTATCTCGCTTGGATCATGCCGCATGAACATTGCTTTAGAATCATACGTATTTGTGCTTCCAGCGATGATACAAAGTCTAATTCAAATACATATTAGAATAGATAACATGAACAAGGTGTACTTTGGGTTGCTAGTTTCTTATAAACAGAACGGACCTTGGGCTGGCCTTTTTTTATGATAGCCCTGAGGCAAGCTTTATTGATTGAAGATAGTTACATCGTCTGATAATAATTGAAGAATAAAACTAGGGAGATCATCGTCCCAGATACAATTTGTTCTAGAAATCATAGCTTGCCTAGCTAGCTCATGTGCCACTTTGTTTGCTTCCCTATTTAAGTGCTCAATGGAAATCTCTTGGAATCCATTCCAGACTATACTGCACTCATCATAAATTGCAGCAGCTGAGTTCGCAGTAAATCCTCCATTCTCCATAGTTTCAACGACCTCCAAACAATCAGATTGAACAAACAATCGATTACCTCCAATCTGTTGAGCTAGCATCAGTCCCTCCTTAAGAGCAAAAGCTTCGGCCATTGGTGCATCAACAAGATAGGGGATAAAGGTATTTGAAGCTGCGATCATACCCCCAGAACCATCTCGAATAATAGCACCCGTACTGCCGCAGCCATTATCCTCATCAAAGGAAGCATCAATATTCAGTGAGATATAACCCTCCCTTGGTTTTTTCCATTCCTGTTTTATCTTAGCATCTTTCTTCATTGCCAACTTGTAATTCTTTGTTAAAGAAACAATCGCTAATCCTGATCTTGAACGTGGCTGTACTGTTTCTCCATGAGTTAGCTGTCTTCGTTCCCACCACAGGTACCATCCACCAGTCAAGAGAAGTTCAGCAAAACCCACATTTAGATCATAAATCTGCTCACCTCTATTAATTATTTCTTCCAACACAACAGATCCCGATTGGTCAGCCTCCAGCAGATATCAAATTTTCTCCCAGATTCCTATCGATCTCCATACTTCTTTGGCTCGATCACAAGTGAAGATCAGGTGTTTAATGTTTTCTGCTCCATTCTGACAGACCGGGCATCCTCCATTAGGAACAATATGCCTATTTGCTAATATAGCATTGCACGGCATCATTTCCTTAATAGCTCTCCAAGCAAAAAAATTTATCTTCCCCGGCAAATCGAGCTTCCAAAGATTCTTTCAAATCCGGCAATTGCTAGTACCACTATCCTGCATAGTAGCCATTCTAGCTCCAAATTTCTTTTTCCATTGGACATGATAAGCTGGTCTGACTGAGAACATACCGTTTCTATTATAGTGCCAAGCAACGCAATCATCTCTCCCTGAAGTAATAGGTATCTGTAAAATGCGATTGGCATCAACCTCCAGGATAGAGCGTACCAGATCCTCATCCCATGAAGCACTCACTGGATTAATAAGCTCATCCACCGTACTGACTAGATTGTTGCCTCTACGTGTCTGAACTTTCATGTTATGGCTGCCAGGTATCCAATTGTCCTCTCATATTTTTATCTGTGTTCCATCACTAACCCTCCAGATATATCCCAATTTAAAACAATCAAGGCCGGCTAAAATACTTTGCCAAGTATAAGAACTACCACTTTTCATTTTTGCATTTAGCAATTTACCATCAGAATAATAGCGTGCTCTCAATACTTTAGCACATAATGAATCAGGCTCCTTAACAGTCTCCATACTTGCTTTGCCAACATTGCCAAATTAAAAGATTGTATATCTCTAAATCCCATACCTCCTGATCCCTTTGGCATACACATTTTCCACCATTCTTGCCGATGGATCCTCTTATGATTATTGTCATCACCCCACCAATACTGCGAAATAGCATTTGTTATTCCTTTGCAAATTTTATTAGGAATTTTGAATACCATCATCGCATACACCGGTATAGCTTGAGCAATAGATTTTATCAGGATCTCCTTGCCTCCTAGACTCAGAAGCTTCTCCTTCCATCCATTGATTCTAGAATTCACCCGATC